GGGTATTTCATTGGATATGCCGAAAAGCCCAAAGGATATAGATTCTATTGTCCATCTCATAGCACTAGAATTGTGGAATCGAGAAATGCGAAATTTCTCGAGAATAACTTAGTTAGTGGGAGTGATCATTTTCCAGATACTCATTCTGAAAGAGATCACTATAAAGATCAACCTACTGAGTCAAGTGATAGATTGATTGTCTTCCACGCTCCTCAAGTTCCAACGCGTGTTAGACGATTAACTAATAAAGTTCCACAAACTGATGAAAATGATCACGTAGATCAAGTTGTTAATGAGGAACATCAAGAAAATGTTGAACAGCATGTTGTTGAATCAGTTGGCCAGCAAGTTCTTCATGATAATGATGAGATAACATTGAGAAGATCTACACGAGTCAGAAAATCAGCTATTTCTAGTGACTTTATAGTGTATCTTCAAGAATCGGATTACGATATAAAAGCCGCGAATGATCCTGAAACGTTTTCACAAGCCATGAATTCTAAAGAATCCGATTGATGGCATGGTGCTATGAAAGACGAGATGGACTCTATGGCATCAAACAAGGTATGGGATCTTGTCGAGTTGCCTGATGGTGTAAAAGCCATCGGATGCAGATAGGTCTTCAAAACCAAAATAGACTCTGATGGCAACATCGAAAGACATAAAGAAAGACTTGTTGCTAAGGGATTCACTCAAAGGGAATGAATCGATTACACCGAGACATTTTCTCCGGTATCTAAGAAAGATTCCCTCCGTGTGATCATGGCATTAGTAGCTCAGTTTGATTTTGAGTTACATCAAATGGATGTCAAAACAGCATTCCTGAATGGTGATCTAGAGGAAAAGGTTTATATGAAACAACCTGAAGGATTTACCTCTAGTGGTGAAGAAAATTTAGTTTGTAAGCTTAATAAATCCATATATGAATTGAAGCAAACCTCCCGTCAGTGGTATTTGAAATTTCATGATGTTATCTCTTCATTCGGCTTTGAAGAAAACGTCATGGATCATTGTATATACCAGAAGGTTAGTGGGAGTCATATTTGCTTCCTTGTATTGTACGTGGATGACATTTTGCTTGCAACTAATGATAAAGGGATGTTATATGAGGTGAAACAATTTCTCTCAAGGAACTTTGATATAAAAGATATGGGAGAGGCATCTTATGTCATTGGCATTAAGATCCATAGAGATAGAAATCGAGGCATTTTGGGTCTGTCTCAAGAAGCCTATATTAAGAAAGTTCTAGAAAGATTTAATATGAAAGATTGTTCACCGAGTGTAGCTCGCATTGTGAAGGGTGACAGGCTCGATTTGAGTCAATGTCCGAAAAATAACTTTGAAAGGGAACACATGAGTAATATCCCTTATGCTTCAGCAGTAGGAAGTCTTATGTATGCTCAGGTTTGCACCAGGCCTGACATAGCATATGCTGTTGGAGTATTAAGGAGATATCAGAGTAATTCAGGTGTTGACCACTGGAAAGCTGCAAAGAAAGTGATGAGGTACCTTCAAGGTACGAAGGATTTTATGCTCACATATAGACAAACTGATGTCTTCGAAGTGATTGGCTACTCCGATTCAGACTACGCTGGCTGCATTGACACTCGGAAATCCACATCGGCTTATGTGTTCATGTTGGCTGGTGGAGCTATCTCTTGCAGAAGTGCGAAGCAGTCTATCACTGCTACTTCCACTATGGAGGCTGAGTTTGTTTTATGTTTCGAGGCTAGCTCGCATGGTGTATGGTTGAAGAGTTTCATATCCGAGCTTAGAGTTGTTGACTCTATTTCCAAACCGATTAAGTTGTATGGTGACAACTCTGTTGCGGTGTTTATGGCTAAAAACAATAAGAGTGAGAGTCGAAGTAAACGCATCGACATCAAATATTTAGCCTTAAGAGAACGTGTCAAGGAAAATAAAGTGGTCATTGAACACGTTAGTACAGAGTTGATGCTTGCTGATCCCTTGACTAAAGGCATGCCATTAAAGAGTTTCAGGGATCACGTAGCAAGTATGAGACTTGATTCTACAATGTAGTTTATTTGCACACATTGTTATTTGAGACTCTTGTTCAGTTTGATGTTTTTTCGCTTTATTGTGCACATATTTGTTTATTATTAAGAAAACTCGTTTATGTTTAACCCGGAATAAATATATGATTTATTCATTAAGATTGTGAGTTTAGTTTGAGATGCTTGACATCGTGATACATGGAAGGTAACATTCGTTTATAGAAGACCTACCGCCATGATTCGTATGTAAGCTTTCTCGTTATGTTGTGATGGTTTGAGTGGGCCAAGTGGGAAAATATTAGTTTAATTAATTAATTAATCATATTTGAATTTTGATTATTTTTTAATTATCTTATATAATTAAACTAACCTAAAATTGTGGCCCACTTTTCTCCCATAAAGTCTATCATATTCTAAATATACGTGAGAAGTGGCAGAAAAATCGTGATGGACAGTTTCTCTTTTTTATTATAAATACTCTCACATACGGGTTACTAAACCTACTATCAGATAATCAGAATACACCATCGCTATTTGAGAGCCAGGGTTTGGCAACATTATCCTAGGGTTCCAGGATTTGGCAACATCTTCACAGGGTTCCAAAGTTTGGCAACATCCTCCCAAGGGTTCTAGAGTTTGGCAACACAATCTTCCAACGGTTCCAATCTACCGTTTGCTTGAAGAAGAGAATATCGAGAACAAATTTAATTTTTAGCAATGGGTGGAGGTTTGTTTCGCTATTCGCTTCCGCTAACATATTTGATTATATGTTTATTTTCTAACACTAAAAGCAGTGAAACAAATTTTGCGATACATAAAAAGGACAGCAAATTACGGTCTGTATTATCGCAAGGGAGGTGATGGATTAATTGGGTATAGTGACAGTAGTCATGGCATCACTACAAAAATAAAGTAATTTAGCTACGGATATTAGCGAGGGATCTGAGATGAATTGTTGCTAGGGAATAATTCCTCGCAAAATATTATCATGTTAGATTTAGAAATGGAATTGGTTAGGTAATTACCAATCATACTATCCTTTACTAATTTAATGATGATTATTGTAAAGAAATATTCGGAGGGAATTAAATCCCTTGCCAACTACTACTTACAAAAGAAAAATAAAAATTAAATTTATTTAACTTATAATTTCATTATTTAAACATATAAAAAATTAATTTATAAATTATAATGCATAGTATTATTTTTATATATTTATATCAATTTTTATTTTTATTCATAATAATATCAATCTGTATTTTTATTCATTAATATATAATATTCTCAATTAAAATTAATTTAGTAGAAAATTTTAAATTCTTTTACCCTACTCAGAGCCGCCTCCATTTGTTTCTCTTTTCCTCCTCCTTCACCGCATCCAGTTTTTCCTCTTTTCCTCCTTCACTGGCGCCACCATAAGTTTTGCTTACCAACGTGTTTGTTGCGGTGAAATTGTTCCGGCAGAGGAGATGTGCTGAAGGTGTTTCACATTTCTACCCGTTGGACACTAAAAAAATAGTATATTTGTAACGAAATTCCGTTCCTAAAGTTCACGTAGTTAACATAATTTTATCCCCAATTCCGTCACTAACAACATTAGTAATGCAAAAATTGGATTTAAGAACGAAAAAATATCGTTACAAAATTGATATTTTCTTGTAGTGGGATTTTGCTTGGTAAGTTTTTTGTCACTCAAAATACTATCCACTGCACGTGTGGTCTTCTTCCTCTTTTCTTCTCCTTGTCAATTGGCTTCTCTGGTACATCTTCTCTTTAATAATGGATTGTACGATGTTGTTCTAATGGTTGATGGAGCTGACTTACCAAACGACACAAATTGGTAGCTCTTTATGTTTTCTCTAATTTTCAGGTAATGTAAAATTTACCTTTCACTTAAGGTTAATGGCCAATATGTATTTGCTTGGAAATATGATTAATTGTGCATCCATTGTGTTAGTTGCATATAGGTAATTTTTTAATAAAGTCTATCAGGAAGATGTTCTTATTGATGTTGATATAGGATCCTTTTCGATTGTGTAATTTTTCCCATATTTTCTTCAATATTATTTTTGTGTGTTGAGTTCAGTTTAATATGATAAATTATTGTGATCTTTGATCACTAATAGCTATTATCATTAGGTTGTTTCTCAATTGCCTGGTGTTTTTGTCTTATGGTGAATGGTCAGATTTAAGAAATCAATGATAAGTTCAGGTCAAGTTCACTAGTTTGTTGTGAGATTATGTTGGTGTAAATGGAGTTATTTTTTAGATAATTTGGTTTGGATCAATGAAGGATCAATTGTGTATGTGCTTTTGTTGTCAAGTGATTGAGGCTCATGAATGAATTTTTTTTTTGAGAGCCCATAATTTACAAACACCATTCATTCATTCGCTTTTTGTTTTGGTTGCTGTTACAATTATCTTACTTTTTTTTTATGGAAGGGTTTGGTTGCTAATGTTCTTATATTTGTGTTGTGATGATGCATATGAATGCAGCCATTTGTAAGTCAGTCGGTCGGTCAGAATATATATGTGTGCGTGAGATTTAGTTGAACTTATGTGTTAAAATTCATTTAGCCAGGTTGTTCTTGTGGATATGGTGATGATAAAAGATGTGTGAGCGAGTGGTTATTTACTCTCTCTTTATAATCAATCGATTTATCTATGTCAAGACAAACCACATAATACATGTTGTCTAGCAGGTTAAATTTGATGCTTTTAAGGTGGTTTGGAAAGAATATGCTGAGCAAATCTATCTTCTGATAATCACTAAGGTTCAACAGGTAGTAAGATCTCGGCTCTTTAGTGTAGATGATTTTACATTGGGAATATAATATTCTAGTTTTGTTGTTATGCTTTACAGAAGTTCTTTTGTTAGTTTTTATTATTTTTTTTGATAAATTTCCTTCTGTGTTTTTTTTTTATTCTAGTGCATCTTGTGAAATCGATATAAATGTTAGTTTTTTTTTTTTTTTGTATGTGATGCAATTATTGATATTATTAATTATAATGCAAATTGAGTGTCATGATCATATCATGACTTGAGTGATAAGTCTTTCTTCCTATAAGTCTTTCTTACTATAATGCATTATCCTATACATAAGGTTGTAATTATACAACAAACTAATGGCATTATATACGCATGTGTGGGTGTATTTGTGTGTAGACCTTCATCTTTCAATGCTTTCATTATAATATTGAGTGTTTGGTGGGATGTTCATAAAAAATCCCATCTAAAAAACTACCTGCATTAGTTTAGTTGATAGTGGAAGGTTGAGAAATGATTAAGAACTCAAGGGGATAATACATATACCTTTGCTTTATATTCGTGTCTTGTTTATGTATATATATATATATATATTATTAGTTATAATGCAAATTGAGTTTCTAATGATGAATAACACATTTCCATTAGTTATGTGTTGTTGTAGGGATTTGCTTTATTACTTGAAGTGTCTAATAATATATATATATATATATAATTCAAACAAAATCACTACAAAGTAAAGGGCGTGAGATACACTTTACACGAGCAGAGGATGTACACTTGTATATTGCCAACTCTCATAAAAACTTTGCTCCATAATATGCTCTTCTTGACTTGCCTACACATATAATGGTATTTTCCTTGTTTCACAACTCAATTCTCTTAACGAGCAAAATAAGAGCTAACACTATTATGGTTGACATTGAGTATGTGCTAACCATACTTGAGTCGCACACTACAAGGGAATCACATGTTTTTTATTGTGTCTTTATAGAGTCGAAGCAAATGTTTTGAATAGGTCTTTAGGACCCATGCATTACTCTGATGCCAATAAGAATCCCACTCCTTTCAAGAATACCTCTGATCGATGCCTATATAAATTGAGGTTAACTACTGAAAGCTATGGTACAGTATGTATGTCTTTGGAGTGGAGTTTTGCGCAGACTTTTTTCCTAGTTTTTACATATCAATGTTCTCATAATTGTATTAATGAATTGATCTAGGGAAGAATATTTCAATTATTATAACATCAACTCCTTATTATTGGTCTCACATGTGTCTTTTTTCACATGTTCTTTTTCTTTCTTGGCCACTCAATATTCATTTGCTTGTTTTAATATCCAATGTAATGGCACGCCTATTATATATTGAATTAACTTCTAATTTCCGGTGAACTTCCAAGAATCTAGCAAGAAAACTGTTGCACGCCTAGTAGTTTCACAGGTATGATTTCCTCTAATCAAAGCCGTCTTGTGATTTATTAATAACCATTAAGAAAAAAGGGTATGCTATCACTACTTTGTGGAAAATTTCATAGATATATGAAAGAAAGTATATACAAGCAATTGTTGTATATACAATAGATTATTCTCTTGAAAGCAAGCTTTATTTGTTGTTTCTCAATGAAGTAATATGCAATTCAGAAGATAGAAAATATGTAAAATAGAGCAATTAAGGTTTTGATGTATATAATTAATTTATGCAGGTCTTATATTAAAATATTGTTACCATGAGTAGTACTGGAAGATCTGGATGTACAACATAATACGTAATAGTATTCTGAATAGGGATTTTATGGAAGATCTTATATTTTATTTTGGGACACATATTAATTACTATTAAGATTCTTTTATTGAAACAATCATTTATTATTTATTTGATTCTTGATGCAAGTGTTCCTCCTATTGCATGATGTATGTATTTGGTATATATGTTTATATTTTATTTTGGCACACACATTAAATACTATTACAATTTGTTTATTGAAACAATCATTGATTACGTTGTTTGATTTGTTATGCAGGTACTCATCATATCTCAGTGATGTATGTATTAAGTATTGATATTCATTTTTTGTTTTGGACATGGATTAAATATTATTGCATTTTGTTTATTGAAAAAATAATCGATTATGTTGTTTGATTCTTGATACAGGTGTTACTCTTATCGGTTATGGATGCATTAGGTATATTGATGATATATTTTTTTTGGGACATTTATTAAAAATTGTTATGTTTCGTTTATTGAAACAATAATTGCTTACATTGTTGGATTTTTCTACTTACGGAACATGATAGACTATTTGATTGTTAATAGTTTAGTTTTTAGAATTAAATATAATTTGTTTGGAATTGTCTGATATTGCTTGAATATAATTTCTTTGGAATTTGTTGAAATAGATTAAATGTAATTTGTTTGGAATCGGTTGAATTTTTTTTTACTATAATTTGTTTGGAATTGGTTGATATTGGTTAAATATAATTTGTTTGCAATTAATTGATATTAGTTGAATGTGATTTGTTTGGAATCAGTTGAAATATCTTGAACATAATTTGATTGAAATTGGTTTAAAAATAATGAATTTAATTTGTTTTGTTTGAAATATGTTGAAATTGACATGTATTGTGATTGAAATTGATTTAATTTAATTTGTTTAGTTTCGAATGAGTTGAAATAGGTTTAATTATAATATATTTAGTATAATTTATTTGGAATTGGTTGACATCGATTTAAAATAATTTATGTTAAACAATTTGCTAAAATGTATTTAATATAATTTATTTAGAATCAATTTATTGTAATTGGTTTTGATCAAAATTAGTGTACTGTAATTTGATTGCAAAATTGAGAAATGAATTAACGAGGGATATGACAAGAGATTTAGTGAGAGAATTAGTGAGGGATTCGGAATTGCGAGATAATTAGTGAGGAATTTAGTGAGGGGATTTGCAAGGAAACTAGTACGGGAATTAGCAAGAGAATTAGCGAAGGATATTAACGAGGGAATTAGCAAGGAATTTAATCCCTGCAACACCTAAAAATATCGTAATCTCGCTAAAATCCCTCGCTATAATTTTGCAACAGAGGAAAAGCATCGCTAAGTGTTGCAACGAAAGGATTTCCAAGGGACTGTTTTGCGTTAAAAATTCCCTCGCATCAAGGGTGTGTTTACTTGTGAGGTTTTAGTTTTGGGTTTTGATTTTGAATAGTAAAATTTTGAATTGAAATAGTTGTTTGATGTGATATAAATATGTATGTGATGTTTTGAATGTAAAATTAGATTTTAGTGTAATAAAATAAATAAAAATTGGGTGTTTGATTTGATATTTTTAAAGGGAAAAAAAAGTTTGAATAGTAAATCAGGTGTAAAACCTGACAAGTAAACACATCCCAAGTTTTTCAAGGGACTTAATCGTTTAGCGAAGGAATAATTCCCTCACTAAACTATAAGTTTTTTGTAGTGCATGGATCTGGATGATAGAAAAGGGACAACTGGGATGGTTTTCTACTTTTCAGGAAACCCAATTACATGGTCCTCCGAAAAACAGGTACAGTGGCATTGTCTTCTCACTACAAGAAAATATCAATTTTGTAACGACATTTTTTTGTTCTTAAATCCAATTTTTTGGTTACTAATGCTATTAGTGATGGAATTGGGGATAGCTATGTGAACTATAAAAACATAATTTCGTTACAAATATACTATTTTTTTTCAGTGTCTTGTGAGGCTGAATTTATGGCCGCTGCCGTGGCAGCATGTCAAGCTATGTGGTTGAGAAGCTTGGTCAAGGAGTTGACAGGTATGGAAGCTCAGAGTGTTAAATTACTCGTGGATAACAAATCAGCAATAGCACTCATGAAAAATCCAGTCTTTCATGGTAGGAGTAAACATATCGACACAAAGTTTCATTTCATACGTGAATGTGTCGAGAAGGGTTTAATCAGTGTGGAGCATGTGAGTGGAGATCAAGAAAAGGCTGACATTTTAACAAAACCACTGCGGGGAGTGAAGTTCATCGAGACGAGGTCTCTGATGGGTGTTGAAGATTTTCAATGTGTAAATTAGAATAACGGGGGAGAATAAAAGATTTATTTCTAATTTTATTCAGAAGTTGGTTACACATTTGTAGGAAAAGTTGACCACGGTTTATATGCTTTGTATTTTGGTTTTTGTGGTAGTTTTCCAGTATGTATGTTTTATGTTTTCTCGTTGGTGTTGAATGAAAATTCAGATCATTTAAAAATGTTGATTACTGCATAATTTTTCTATATCGATCAACAATGCTTACCTGAGGAGTTGTGCCCGGCAGCAGCGTTGGAGGTCAACCCACCCACAGTGGCGGGGGTAGGGTTGGAGGTCGACACACCCACACCAGCTGGGGTGGAGGTCGACCCACCCACAGTGGCGGGGGTAGGGTTGGAGGTCGACACACCCACACCAGCTGGGGTGGAGGTCGGCCCACCCACAGCAGCAGGGGCAGGGTTGGAGGTCGACCCATCCACATCGACTGGGTTGGAGGTCGACCCATCCACATTGGCAGGGGCAGGGTTGAAGGTCGACCCACCCACAGCGGCTTGGGTGGAGGATGCACCCCGCAGCCTTAGCATGGGTAACATTCTGACGACGTATGGGGTTTGCCTTGTGCGTGCCATAGATTGAGGAAGAAAATGGGAAAATTAAACCTTCCTACTTTGTAAAGTATCTGTGTAAAAACACCAAGTTCAGGAGATCAGAAATTAGTTCAGAAAACCTCTACAAAAATGGACTTCATATTCGCAGTTCTTTACCTCCGATTAAGAATGGCAAAAGATGAAGGAAGACGCAGGACTTTAGGGTTTAGATCAGAAATTTAGTTCAAAAACCTTTACATAAATGGACCACAGACTTGCTTTTGACCTACGATTAAGAATGGCGAAAGATGAATGAAACGCAGACTTTAGGGTTTAGATCCGAAATTTAGTTCAAAAAACCTTACACAAATGGACCACAGACTTGCGTTTTACCTCCGATTAAGGATGGCAAGAGATGAAGGAATACGCAAGACTTTAGGGTTTACAAAATACTGAGAAGTAGGCATGACATAGGCCTTTATATATATAAAAATATATGTCTTCATCCCAATAGACTAATCTTTCAAAACAAATTTGGCCTATTTAACCCAAGTTTGGATTGGTCCAAGCCTATTTATATTAGAAATATCAGTATACCCAACATGTGAATAATACACAACTAACAAATTTGAGTTCGCCATCTTGCTTGATAAGATTGTTATTATGAAAACAACCCCTCGTTCAGTGCAAGTAACATTATCCAATATTTTTTTTAATACCTAAAAAATATGCTAATAAGTTCATTACATTACATATGAAGTTATAGGAAATAATTATTCTTTAACGGCTATGGAAAGAAAACTATATAACAGAGCATTATCGTCAAAGCAAATAATCAATGAGTTCATTTATGTAGCTACTTACTATAATATGAGCGTAGCGATTTATGGGAAGTGCAATGATCTACACCACGTAGCTTGGCATAACATTATGTGATACACATAAATGCTTATAATGCAAGCAAATCGTACAAAATCAGATAAAAACATTTAAAACACATACAATCTCAAGATTTGGTATATGAGAAATTATGAGTATGTTGAAATATATAACCTCTCCTCCGTTGACCGTGAGAATTTTCATTTTGAAGTTTTCCGAATTGGAAGAAACTGCAAGTACAGTTTGCATACTTAGATCACAATTTTAAAGATACAAAGAGATAATAAAATAGCTGCGCATGTACAACATATATTAGATATATTAGATCAGAATCAATGGCTTGTATGGTTCCTCACCTTGAACACCTTCCCGCGGGATAATTTCCTTGGCTCTCACACGGAAGCAGAAAATATGGAAGGAAAGAAAAACAAGCACAATGTTCACTCAACTTAGTGAGATGTGTATTTCTCTCAAACTCAGGTAGTTTACAAATGAGGATGATTCTTCTATATATAAATTGTATAATGGGTTGGGCCTAACACATGTTAAAGTATACCATGATAAGCTCTGTCTATAAAAATATGGATAAGGATAAAGTCTATCTATTCGGATAGACATCAACTTGGTCAAGGGGCAATCTGGGCATTCCTGGAATATTCTGGAATGTTCCGGGAGGTTACTATTAGTCCATTCGTTCTCGATAGCCTTCTGATTCAATACTCAGCTTGATGTTGGTCATGAAAAAAACCTCATCAAATGGATGTGGATCAGCCAGATGAGTGGGGTCTTAGAAAATTAGATTGGTTCTTACACTTGGGCTTTGGATAAATTTGGGCCTCAAATATCACATGTCGAAATTAACCGTACTCTCCTTAGCTTTTTGTCTTAAAAATTTCATTGAGTGTTTAAGGTATTCATCGCTAAAAATAAAATTACACTGCTACCTAAATAAAACGAAATAGTCAGTAAATAAATTTCAAAAATTGCAACACATCATTGAAACTTACAACTACAACAAAAATAGGTACTACGTTAATAATATATGTATTACAATATATAATTTTCATGCACGACTCAAATATAGTAGAAGATCATACTTTTCTCCTATTTTTATTAATTCTCTAGCCACTATATCTCTAAGTGAAAATGTTCATTAACATGTTAAGTTCGATCATGAAATTCAAGATTCTTACACAATTGAATACCGGACCTTCTATTCAAAAAATAGTAACAAAATTATGCAGGTAACTGATTTAAGGGATTAAGCCCATGATGAAAAGGTTTTTCTGAGATTTTTAAAATATATTTAAGATAAAGTATAACAAATAATATATGTATAAAAATAAAAATAAATATCATAGGTCTTCCTATAGTAACTCTAAAAACATCCTCAAAATTAAAAAATTTCTTTGACCGGTGCGTGTTCAAGTCGAACTAAGGGAATATGAGAATTTGATATGTTTGATTTAAAAAACTAAAATGAATTAATACAATCGAAGGGCTGAAAAATAATCTAGCTTCTAAAACATAATTTTGTCCAACTTAAAAAACAATAAAATATGTCTAATTGGGTAGAAATTGGATGAAACAATGGATATAAGTGATTGTGAAGTGTAAGTGAGTATTTAAGTGATAGAGAGGACGGAGCAAGGTGTTTATGTATTTCCTATGACTCATGACTTGATTGGTATTTGACCTAAGGGAGTACAACCATACTTTACATCCATAAACAATAATATTATTTCCAAGTGAAGCCGTTGTCACCGTACCAATAAGCAAACACATATGTCTTATTAATCATTATCAATTTTTTTTTTTAATTAGTGGCCCTATCCCTATGATCTTTCTCTTTAATTGAGGTTAAATTCAACTTGTAACTGAGCAGGTAGACAAGGCTCTGTCGTACATAATTGCTACCTATACCTTGTTAACAATGCAATGCGGGCATAGACATAAATAGTTAACTCTTCCATATCGTTCCATAATATTATCAAGAATCTAGTTTAAACAACTCAAGTGTGAACACGGAGATTTATCCCTAATCATTTAAATTGTGTCTTTTTAATTTTCTACGTTACTCTCGAATTAAGAATTTATTGTATTTTTTCTGTCAATTTCAAAACAAATAAATTAAAAATTATGAGAAATTGTGATTTTTTTCCCCATTAGTTGCGGCTCATTATTAAGGTATATAATTTTATGACATTAACTCATCCATAGTCCGTTCTACTACCGGAATTGGAAAATAGCACATGAGGAGCATGTGTGATGATGCGGCAGCACTAAAGCTTTGATGGACTTTCCAGAGCAAACGTGGGTGTTCAGGTGCACTTGTTCTATCCTCGGCTAGGAAATTAAAATAATTTATTAAGTTTAAGTTTTATTATTATTATTTTTCAATTTTGTTGTATTTGATTCCCTCGCCAATTTTCCATAAATGTTGCTTTTATCTTGTGTGTTGACTGAGTTTTGCCGAGCATTTCAAATCTTCACATGAAATTCTGTTCTAATATTTTCAATATGTCATATAATAAGTTGACCATTACACCATCCGTTTTGGTCATTCTTGTAGCATGTTGGAATGGAACAAAACAAGTTCTGCAGCTAAGGACACCATCCTTTATACACATTGCATAAATTCCTCTTTGGTGTCAGTATGACAGCGTGACAACACCCAAACATTTTTGTTTTATGCCAAAAGAAAGAAAAGGAAGTTTATATTAACTAGATAGGATACCAATTGTTGATCATAGTATTGAGTTTGAAATAGATTCCACCATTTGATTTATGATTTCTTGAACAAATAACAATGGGTGTGGTTTGTTCAAAACCTTCGTGGATCTAAAATACCAGCAAAATATATAAGGGATTTGAAGTCAATATGAAAGAGTAGAACTCATTGAAATTCATTTTCATCTTTCTATATAACTTTTCAAGTCCAAGTTAAATTCAACTATTGCATACTTTTTTAGATAATAGAATGTCCACTAATGATAAAACCATGTGGGAAATATTTTGACAAGATTTGTATTAAATGTAAACAAATAATGAGTGATTTAATGGATGGTATGCCAAAACATCTAGAAGTGTTGAGATGTGTAGTCATTTGTAATAAAGTTGACTAAAATTGTTTTTCTAACGAATAAAAAAGACCATTCATGCTAATGACATACCTTTTTAATGATCACCTGGGATTTGGCGACAATCATGATTATGAAAATTTTGTGGAGTCAAATGTTTTTAAGTATTAAGGTTAGGTAATTCTTTGAAAGAAGCTAAAGTAACAAAGTGGGAAAAGAGAGAATTGAGTTTTTCACATTAGTTTGAGAATATTGAGCTTCTCAAGTGTCGGTTAATGGAGAAAATTCATAAAAAGGTAAGAATCTATTGTTGGTAGGAATGACACTGTTTGGGATAAATCATAGATTTGATTGATCAAGTGCTCAATATCAATTACCAGTAGTATATCTGATTTTTAATATAATTTTTTTTAAAAAAAAATCAATCTTGAAAATTTCAAATATAAAAAATAGATTATTTTATTTTATTTTATTTTTACTGTTGAATAATTCTTCTATGGTCAAGCCATAACCTAAAGTAGAATGTTACTTAGATGATGCTCCTAACTTCCCATTTCCACCGCCGGAATTCTTTTTCCAAATATTACTATTTTACAGAATAGTGACTAAGTGCCAACAAAACCAATAATACTTGCTTAAGTAATTCTTTCACTCACCTATTTCTTATAAGCATAAATTCGTTTAATTCATGCTTTATTGTCATTTAAAAGTTGAATCACTTCGTAGGTGTTGGCCACAATGAGAAATTTTCTCACGTCTTCCCCCATTGTTTATATTACAAATATACAACCTCATATTGCTATCACTTATATCCATTAGCTCCATTTAAATACACCGGTGCTTATACAGATCTTGTTCACCTAACAACTCACAATTTGTATTCACTTCGTTCATTGGTCATAGTGGAACACTGATTATAGTTGTAACACAGGTTTGATCCAACAACCAATTAATGTACATTCCACAGAGTCAGCATCAACAATCTAACCGCCAATATAGACGAAGAAAAGCCATATTTCAAATGCACGTATACAAATTGCAATAAAGGTTAGTTACTTCGAAGTTCCAGGAACGGCACCATCGGATTATCATATCGCCTAGGTGACACGGTGCCACCATGTTGACAAATTGGCAATATGGCAATTTACCTATTATAAAAAAATGGTAAACCTTAGATCAATGAACTTTTCATAAGTTTAAAATAATATATAACCGTACTGAAACATCACCATCAAAATACAAAATTAACTTAAAGTGTTGAAAACATAATTATTAAAATAAAGAAACACTATAAAGTTCTCAACTCAAGAAAATAAGATAAAATCAACAAAGTAAGTTTCGACGAAAAGAAAAATAAACATGCAAATAAACCTTACATACAAATAACCTTTACTACTGACCAATGTTGGCCAGTGATGGTGGGTGGAGAAAACAGAGGCAAAAAAGAAATGTAGCGGCAACCTAGGTTTTTTTTTTTTAGGGGTGGGGAAAGGGGGCGGGGGGGTGGACTGAGCCAAAACAATTCGAATTGGGTTTGGTCATGCCAAGACGCCAGGCTTGCAAAACGGTGAGGCGAGCTGCCTGGTGCTAGCAGTGCACTGCCAGGACACCAAGGTGCCATGAAAATCATGATTATAATGCTCTATAGTAAAACTAAAATTTAAGTACTATATGTTGCTGACGATTTCCACAAAATACGAAATAACATGCTACAATATGTGCATAACATAAAACCAACAACATCTTCTATAGAATTAATATCAAGACAACATATTCGGTTTACAAGCACCATATACAGTTTTATTTATGCAGAATCAAACTCTGAAGGTGGTTTCCTCTACTTCTCTCACGACTCACCCTCGTCATGGGGCAAGCAACCAAGAACAATCTGCAATTGAAGGAAAGATAATGTCATAAAAGAAATTTCTGGGATGAGTTGGCTACATATATTTATTTTGGCGTCCGATTTCACAAATACATAGAAGAGAGATCACAACAACACATGAGAAACAAGAAAAAGAAAGAGACACAACACTATTGCATACAGTGGAACACTTGATGAACAAAAAATTCTTTCAATCAAATATTAACTTGTCACATTAATGACTATGTCGAATGTAAGCATTCTATTCTAATTTATTGAATATTAGATGTATATTTTATTAGTTATGTAGCAACTTTAGTCATTAAATTAAAATCAACATCTTTTGCTAAGCTCGGGCATTTTAATTCAGCTACAGTACTTCCTCTATCAGTAATTAATTTATCACAAATTTAGTGGTGCCAATCGAAAACCTTCTTTCAAGAAAGGAACTAACCTGTAGAGAAGATGCAGCGATCATAGGTCCTGCTACTATACCGCCAAATGCTGTTCCATCTGGCTGAAGTAAGGCTGTACTCAGCCTTCCATCATTGTCACTTTGAAGTCCACCTCTAGATGGAACAAAGGAACCGACTATTGAAAGAATTTGAAACGGACCCTATACACACAGGCACATAAAAATAAAAATAAAAAATAAAAAAAATTATAAAATAAGGATAGATGACTAACTAGAGAAACATGCTCCTGATCAAAAGGTACCGATATTTATTACTTGAAGATTAAATTTTTAATTGTACTTAAAAAAATGCAATTCATAGCATAGCATTGAATTGGCCATAAAATTGATAAAACATCCAATTCAATGATTACTGTCATTCCCAAATTGAATATAAGTGCAACCATAAAATCGTTAACATCAAAGGCAAGTAGTTGAATAAAATGTCATTTAAATGAAACATTTTCTTTACGAGTGCAGATGGATGAAAAAATATTATAGAAGCATGCAGATAAACACAAAAATAATTAATTAAACAAAATCCGAGAAAGCACAAGTAAACAGACCAAAGGTACCCTCCTAGCAAACTAAATGAAAAGTCAATATAGATTTAAGTAATTTAGGAAACCTCGTATATTCTGTGTTCGCCATGTTCCGCAGGTAGTCGGATTGTGGCGCGTGATAACGTCCCAGTGATTGTTATTACGAAAACAACCCCTGGTTCGGTGATAGTAGCATCAACAATCTTTGCTAAGAGATCCTGAAAAATATGCCACTAAGTTCAGTACGTTACAAGTGGAAACTGGTAGGAATAAAACAAGATCTCATCAAGGTAAATAAAGTATTGTTTAACGGCTATGGAAAGATAAATATGTGTCGAAGCATCATCGTCAAAGCAAACAATCAATGCAGTTGTTTTATTTAGCTACATACTAAATTACAAGTATAGCAATTTATAGCAAGTGCAATGATCTACACCTTCACGACGCGTGACACAAAATTACATGATACAAATATAATTGCTTCTAGTGCAAGCAAATCATACAAAGTAAACAAAAACACATGTAATCTCAAGAGTTTGAACATGAGGAATCATCATTATGTTGAAATATATAACCTCTCCTTCATTGACTAAGATAATCTTCATTTTGAAGTTTTCCGCATTGGAAGAATCTGCAAGGACAATCGTCAGCCGTAGTGTTTAGGGTTAGATCAAATTCTTATAGTTAGATCACTATTTTATAAAATGCAAAGAGATAATAAATATCACTCCAAGATTAGATCTTATGCTTACCTGAGGAGTGGTGCTCGCCAGCAGGGTTGGGCGTCGAACCACCCACACCAGCTGGGATGGAGGTCGACGCGCCCACGGCGGTAGGGGCAGGGTTGAAGGTCGACCCGCCAACAGCGGCAGGGGCAGGGTTGGAGGTCGACCCGCCAACAGCAGCTGGGGTGGAGGATGCACCCCGCAGCCTTAGCTTGGAGAACATTCTGAAGACGTATGGAGTTTGCCTTGTGCGCGCCATAGATTGAGGAAGAAAATGGGAAAATTAAAACTTCCGACTTTGTGAAGTATCTGTGTAAAAATATACAAAGATTGAGGAACAAAGAGAGAAGAAAAGGCAAATATACATCTATAAATTTACAATACCCCAAATGGCCAAATGAATCGTCTAACACCAAGTTCAGAAGATCAGAAATGAGTTCAACATACTTCTACAAAAATGGACCAGCAGTTTTTTTACCTCGGATTACGGGAGAAGATGAAGGAAGAGGCTGGACTTTAGGGTTTTCACAATGCTGAGAAGTAGGCAAGACCTAGGGATGGCAATGGGTAGGGTCCAGCCACACCCAAGACCCGACCCGACCCAAAAACAGATGGTTGGACCCAAGATCCGATTCGAACAATACCTGACAACACCTGACCGACCCGAATTTTTTTAAAAGTTCTTAATATTTAACTTGAAATTGGTCCCGAATCCGTACCCGGACCCGACATATATTAAAATTTATATATTTTATTCAAAAATATTATAATAAAATAATAATAAAAAAACTAAAAACATTTTTTAAATATAATTTAATTTTTTCATATATATATATAATTAATATATTAATCGGGTCCGGGTCGAAGTAGGATCCACCCTTTGACCCGAGATCTGACCCAAACCCGATAAGGGTACACATTACCCGACCCCAAATAAATAAATTGGCCGGAGACTGTTCATATTAGAAATATCAGTATACCCAACCAGTATATTTGATACCCTAAAAATTGCAAAGTTTTTAGCAAAAAAATGCAAACTATGATTCCACTCTTATAAAATACGGAAAAATTAGATGTAACATGTCTTTGATCCAAAACCCGTGTACAATCCACACACTGAGCATCAACACTCTTACAACCAATATAGACGAACAAAAGACATACGCTAAATGCAACTATAAAATTTGCAATCAAGGTTAGTTATGTTTGGATTCCGGGTATGGCACTAAGGGACTATGATATCGCCTAGTTGACATAGTGCCCGCCATGTTGATGAATTGGCCAAGTTATCAATTATAAATTTCTAATATTTAATATAAAATACAAAATATAAAATACTAACCTTAGATCACTGAATTTTTAATACCTTTAAAACAGAATATCATCTTACTAAAACATGAAAGTATTAAACATCACTAACAAAATACCAAATACCAAGATGTTAACTTAAAAGTTTCAAAACACGATTATTATTATCTATGAAAAACTATTAAGTACTCATGCATAATCAAGAAAATTAGATATAAAATCAACAAAATAAATTGGTATGAAAAGAGAAATAAAGATACAAAAAAACCTTACATATACTGACCAACGACGGTAGTGATGGCGCGTGGAGAAAAGAGAGGCAAATAGGACGAGAAGGGGAAATAAATGTACCAGCAACCTCGGGGTTTTCGGATTTTAAATTCAAGCTGGGTCAAGTACTTGATTCAAACAATTCAAGTTAGGTTTGGTGATGCCTGGCCACCAGCCATGTCAAATAGTGAGACGAGCTGTCTTGTGATACTGGTGCACTGCCAGGAGGCCAAGGGGCCGTGATAACCTTGATTATGCTCTAAAATAATACTAACATACTAATACTATATATTGGTTTTGATCACCAAAAAGAATATCTTGAGTCTAAAGGAGTGTACTCATTTGAGATTTCATTGGATTTAAAAAAAGTCTATTGATTTATATAGATTTAAAAAAATCCACCAAAGTCTATGTGGAGTTTGATGAATTTCATATATTGATTAAAATGAATTTTATAAATTTAATTGGATTGTTTATAGGTTTATATAAATTTCATATTATTGTAGAATAATTGTGCTATTAGTTTATATAATTAATATAAATTTATATGAAACACATTTTTAAATTTTAAAAAATATTTAAATAATTAAATAAAAATACCAAAAAATATAATATTTAAAATAAAAAATATGTATTTTATTAATGATGTATAATAATTGTAGCATAATACTATTTTTATATATTAAAATTTTTAATTTTAAATATGTATATATGCATTATTAATTTAATAAGTTTGTGTTAAATGGTAATGAAATAAAATAAATATGGAGACAATAATGTCCCATTTTCAAAGTAATTTGAGTTTCAAATCCTCACCATATCTTTTTTAATTAAATTTATTTGGATATATATTTTTTTATGTAAAAGAAAATAAGAAATAATTAATAATTTCAATTAAAACCATATATTTTTGATAAATTTGCTAATATTTGCTATTATATTTAAAATTTTGAAATTATTATTATTTTTCCCTAGTATATTTTAGTTTTTGAAATTATTATTATTTTATTAAAAGATTAGAGTAATATTAATAAATATTATCATAATGTGTATTAATTCTAATAATTCTAATAATAATAATAATGATAATAATAATTTTAAAGATTTATCAAAATCTCCTGAAATTGAGAGATTTCACACTATATTATTACCAAGTGATTTAGGTTCAAATAATTCCCTACGTGGACCCTTTATTTTAGTGATCATTTTTTATTTTTATTTTATTTTAAAATATAATAAATAAACAAATTAAAAAAATTACAAATTAAAAAAATAAAATTAAAAAAGAATAAAATTAAAAAATAAAAATTATCCACGTTTCTGCCAAGTCAGCGTCATGTGCCCCATGCATGGATAATTTTTATATTTTATAATAAAATTAAAAAATAAAATATAAAAATATAACTAAAAATATATTATATAAATTATTATAATAAAATTAAAAATAAAATATAAAAATATAATTAAAAATATAATATACAAATTATTAATGGCAGCGTGTTGTTCACCTGGTGAATATGTGGATCATTTTTATTTTTTATTTTTAATTTTTAATTTTTATATTCTTAAATTTTAGATTTTATTTATTTTGTTTTTTATATTTTAAATTTTTTAATTTGTATATTTCAAAAAAAAATTAAACATAAGAATAAATAAAAATTATCCACACGGCGGACATGTGTCCGCCACATGGCGTTGACATGGTTGACAAATGTCCGCTGGAATGTCACACAGCTGCTTCATAGGCATCAAGGATTAATGCGCGAAATTTTTTGATTTCCGTGACTATTTTAAAACCATATCCAGTGACGAGACTAAAATGATAAAGAAGTCCGGTTACGCACTAAAGAATTAGTTTACCATTAAAATTTTGAAATTATTATTATTTTTCGCTAGTATATTTTAGTTTTTGAAATTATTATTATTTATTTAATAGATTCTAATAATATTAATAAATGTTATCAATTTTACCCTGTATCATTTATTCATAATTTTCAACAAGAATTTCACAGAATTCATAGAATTTTAAAGTACATAATTTTTTAATACCTCAGTATTTAAAAAAAAAATTAAAAGTGAATGTCTCGTGATTTTAAAAAGACTTTTAAAATTCTGAATTGAATGCCTTCAAATTTTTTTAACGTGGTTCGATCTATTTCTGTATGTCTCATCCTTGCGGCAGGGTGAGCAAAAAAGTCTGCAATTGAAGGAAAAAGAATGTAATAAATTACATATTTCTACAATGAACAAGTTACATATATTTATTTCAGCTTACAAAAAGAAGAAAGAGACACAGCATGATAAACATACTCCCACCACATTTAATGGAACACTTGATGAATAAGATTTGTGTTCAATTAAATATTACCTTGACACACTAATGGCAAAGAAAATCAATCTATGCTATTCTACTTTACCAAATACTTAGATGCACAGATATTAGTTACATAGAAACTTTAGTCATTAAATTGAAATCGAGATATTTTGCTAAACTAGGGGATTTTAATGCTGCTTCACGAAAGAAACTAACCTGCAAAGGAGATGCAGAGATAAACAAACTCAGGCCACAATCGATGGCACACTTGATAAATGAAAATTGTTTACAATCAAAGATTCCCTTGACACACTAATGGCTAAGCTAAATGTAAGCATGTGCTTCTAATTTTCCGAATAATTACATGTACGGGACGAAATCATACAACTCTATTTTTTACGAAACCCTGCTTTAATGACTATAGAATTAACTTGTACCGGAGCTGCAGCTATCATGGGACCTTCTACCATACCACAGAATTGACTTCCATCAAGACGACATAAGGCTGTACTTATCCTTCCTTTGCTGCCTCGTTGAATCCCATCTTTCCATAGGTGCCTTCATGTCCCACCCAAGCATTGTCCATTTTTGGGCTTTTTAAATTTCCATTGCTACACAGACCCATAGCTGCACAGCCCCCGTTCTTATAGGCGACGTCGATCATGCATACTTTTTATCACTACACTTGTAGGATGAAAAAAATGACATAATCCCGCGGCATCAACCCCATTTCCTTCACAAATCCATCCCTGCCTCGAGTGAAGACAAAGCTCTTATTAATTGAATGATAGGTAAACGAAGGAGGAAGATGATAAGTCGGAATATAATTTCTCATTCATAATCTTACTTACATTATCACCCTTTTATTCTAGGAAGACCTTTCAAGTCATAATAATTAATTGTATCTCTTATAAACCAAGAGTATAAAATATAATGAAAACTATATATTAGACAAAGCACATTAATCATCATAGCACATTAATCAACATACTCCCCCTTAATGTGCTTTCACAATTCCAAGGCGCTCTCTTAATTGATGAAATATCTCTTTCGGAAGAGCTTTGGTAAAGATGTCTGCAACTTGCTCGTTACTCCTACAATAACTGAGCTCCATCTCGCCTCCTTCAATTACATCACGAATAAAATGATGCTTGATCGCGATGTGACGAGTGCGACTGTGATAAACTGGATTTTTGGCCATAGCAATTGCCGATTTATTGTCACAGAACAATATAGTCGCCTCATTTTGGATCTCACCAACATCCTTCAAAATCCTTCGAAGCCAAATGATTTGTGATGTTGCAATAGAAGCTGAAACATACTCTGCTTCAGCTGATGATTGCGCCACAGATTCTTGCTTCTTTGATGACCATGAAATCACACCCGAACCGAGAGAAAATGCATAGCCAGAGGTGCTTTTCATATCATCAACACAACCTCCCCAATCGCTATCGCAATAACCATACAACTTAACAATTGAATTTTTTTCAAACTTGATTCCAAAATTTGAAGTACCTCTAATATACCTCAGAACCCGTTTTGCTGCCCCCAAGTGATTTTGGCTTGGATCATGCATAAACCTCGACAACAAACTTGCAGCAAACATAGTATCCAGCCTCGTAGTTGTAAGATACATCAAGTTTCCAACCAAACTCCTGTAAAGAGAGGCATCCACTTTCTTTGCGCCATCATTTTTCAACAATTTGTCACCAACTACAAGAGGATTTTCGGTAGGATTGCAATCATCCATTCCAAACTTAACCAAAATATCTCAGCATATTTCTTTTGACAAAGAAACACTAATAAATGTAAAAGAACAAGTAAAAATTTGAAACAACAACAATGTAACTAATATACACAAACAATTATGTATTTGAATTGTGTTTCTTGAATCCTTGAAAATACACACATACACACAAAACACCCTCCTCCATACAAACAAGTAAAGACCAGGTGCAGGTTGCATTCATACTCTTAATTAATTCACAAAAAGAAGGTTTTGTCGATTGTTGAATTCCATTGTTTAACCTTTTTTTTTTTTCTAATATACGCTTGTACCCTGCTGTTGCATATTATTATTATTATTATAAATTTTTGTATATCCTATAAACATTAAAACTAAAATTATCAAGAAAAGCCAAACACAAATTTCTGAAATTTGATTAATCAAACAAGCAACAAGCCAAAATCGTCCTCCGACGACTATCAAGCAAAGCCAAACACGGATATCTGAAATTGGATTTTCACTTCTAGGAACTTGAATGGCATGGCTTAGTTATGAATCTCCGCATCAAATTAGTATGCTACCTACTTCCCAATTGAGCATCTCTCAAATCAAAGCCAATAAGTCAACTATTCTTGTACTATATGTCATACTTACCCAAATATAGAATAACCTATGTAAAGAGAAATATTGCATATATTTTCTTCATCCCGTAGTCTATGTCGTCTTCTGTTCTTATATAAGAAAAAATAAAGAAACTGAGAGGAAGAATAATTTTAGTGATAGTCCCAACTAAAGTTTAGATTTAAAAAAAAAAAAAAAATTGCAAATCAAAGGACAGCCCATCGTATAGATTTGAGATATGAAAACTCTTAGTAATTAGAGATTGTTCAAATCGCCCTAAAAAGTTTTGAAATATGAGAGTTTCACAATATATCACGAAGGAATGATGTTTACCCAAGCGAAATTATGAAATCGAGCTCAATAGCTTGCCCTACACAGAAACCGTAACAATGAAGAAACAATTGTACCATACCCAAACTACTCACCAATGCGGATGCTCCCTGAGGAAGAAGTTGAATACTAATAGTGCCCAAATCGATTTCTTCGTTCAGACAAAGAGATGAAAAACCGTGGATTGACACCAAATCCTACTACAGAAAACTTAAAATCCTTACCTGAACGCCGGTGCCAAAGTAGATGCTTGATCCCACCATCGAATCGATTGGGAGAGGGGGGAATGATCTGCCCTAACTTGGAAAGTGTTGGAACTTATAATTGTTATTAAAAATGTAAGTCCTATTTTTTTTTTTTTTTTTTTTGGTGAAAGTATGATAGCTCTTTTACTAGTTTTTTTAATTTGTAATTTTTTTAAAATTTTATTTATTATTTACTTATTCGATTAAATTCAAAAAAAAATTAAATGGAAGTAGTTACGAAAAGTATCGTAACTAATGTTATTTTTATCAAAGTTTACCATCTTTGAAATTGTTACGGAAAAAATGTCGTAATTAGTGAACCTGAAACGTTGAACGGGGGTGAAAATATTTTGTTACGTATTATATCGTAACTAAAACAACCATTTGTTACGTGACTATTTTAAAACCGTCTCCAGTTACAGGACTAAAATGATAAAGAAGTCCGGTTAGGCTTACAGTTAAATTTTAAAATTTTTATTATTTTTCGCTAGTATATTTTAGTTTTTGAAATTATTATCATTTTTGTTAGTATTATTTACATAAAAACTATCGAGATATTTTGCTAAACTTGGGGATTTTAATGCTGCTTCAGGAAAGGAACTAACCTGCAAAGGAGAGGCAGAGATAAACAAACTCAGGCCAAAATCAATCGCACACATGATGAATGAAAATTGTTTACAATCAAAGATTCCCTTGACACACTAATGGCTAAGCTAAATGTAAGCATGCGCTTCTAATTTTCCGAATAATTACATGTACGGGAAGAAATCATACAATTCTATTTTTGACGAAACCCTGCTTTAACGACTATAGAATTAACTTGTACTGGAGCTGCAGCTATAGAATTCGGACCTTCTACCATACCACCGAATTGACTTCCATCAAGACGACATAAGGCTGTACTAATCCTTCCTTTGCTGCCCCGTTGAATCCCATCTTTCCATAGGTGCCTTCATGTCCCACCCAAGCACTGTCCATTTTTGGGCTTTTTAAATTTCCATTGCTACGCAGACGCATAGCTGCACAGCCCCCGTTCTTGTAGGCTACGCCGATCATGCATACTTTTTATCACCACACTTGTAGGATGGAAAGATGACATAATCCCGTGGTATCAACCCCTTTTCCTTACAAATCCGTCCCTGCCTCGAGTGAAGACAAACCTCTGGCTGCTTTTCCAATAGCAGTACCGGCTCTGATCATGCCAAGGAGAGCTTGGGTGCTGAACTGGCTCTGAAAGTTTGGCTCCTTGAGAGTGGTGTCCGTCCACAGGAAGTTCCAGGGCTGCGGAGTCGGTTGGCGGCGCTATCATATGCCATAGCGGCTTCAGTTTCGGATTTAAAGGTTCCTAGCCGGATGCGCTGATGGTCTTCATATATCTGTGCACCCCAGTGCCCATTGATTTGGCACACCACACCTTTGAGTTTGGAAGCTGAGGCTACTGCAGGATGGGAACTGCTGCCAGAGTCAGATATGTCGCCTGTAGACAAGCTTTTTGCAGCAGTGTTGGAAAAGAGGCTCTCAAAGTCCGTGATTGGTGTTGGAAAACTTGGGCATTTTAATTCTGTTACAAAAATTACTGATTCAGAAAATAATTTATTCATGACTTTAGCGATGCCAATCGACAACCTTCTTTCAAGAAAATAATTAACCTGTAATGGAGCTGCAACTATCATGGGACCTTCTACAATACCACCAAATGGAGTTGCACATTGATATAATGTGAAACAGACCCTATACACAAAAAAAAAAAAAAAAAAAAATTATAATTAAGGATACACAACCAACTAGGGAAGTCCAAAGGTACCAATAATTATAACTTGAAGATTAAATATGAAATTATATATTTTTTTAAAAAAGGGTAAAATTTAAAACACCCAATTAAAAAATTAGTTTATTCCAAAATTAAATATAAGCACAACCTAGAGAAGCACACACACAAGAGGAAGTCATAGGAATGAAGTATAGTTTAACTGCTATGGAAAGATAAACATATTATGGACCATCATTGTCAAAACAAACAATCAATGTAGTTCATTTATGTAGCTACATACTAAACGAGCATTGTGATTGATGGTAAGTGCAATGATCTACAGCTTCACGACGTGTGGCATAACATTACACGATACATATATATAAATGCTTATAATGCAAGAAAATCATACAAAATAAAATAGAAACACATGCAATCTCAAGAGTGGGAATATGAGAAGTTACCAGTATGCTGAAATATATAATTTTTTCTTATCGACTGTGAGAATATACTGTTTGAAGTTCTCAAAAGAATCTGCAATCACAATTTTTCAGGATTAGTGTTTAAAGTGTAATCAAATTATTATACTCAGATCACAATTTAAAAAACACAAATCAATAATAAATCAATAATAAAAATCCCTTGGATGATTAGATCTTCTGCTTTCCATTGAATAATATAAATTACCTGAGGAGTTGAGCCTGGCAGTGTGGGTGGTCGATCCAGAGAAAGGGAAGCAAATTCTTATCATCTCACATACTCCAACCAACCGATGAAAATAATATAATATCCTTTATGTGACTATAGGTCCACTGGGCAGATATTTAAGCAGAGTTTCCTCAGGCACCAATCAAGCGGCCAGATCCGCCGTACAGGACGTATGCGCGCTGGGGTATTTATAACTGAGAGAACCCTAGGGTTCGGTGCCCAGCAAAAATTCATGGCGGCGCCAAATCAAACTTAAACCCTAATTTCCTAATTATGTTGTTTGCATTTTTATATTTAAAAAGAGTATAAATGTATTATAAGAAAAATTGGGCCTGAAGTTGATCAGCTTGTGCTTGGCTTGCAGTTAAGCTCATTTATTAAGTCCAAAAGTTGCCCAAATCAAAAATATATTAAGAAAGAAGTTGGATATGTGTAGGAGGAATGTGCAATCCAATATGAGAACAATAAAAATGCACACGAACATGTTTGATCAAACATCTATATACAATCCGCACAATCATCATCAACACTTTAGCTGTCTCCAGTAGAAAGAAAAAAGGTGAACATCATATTGCTTAGGCGACACTAAGCCAACCGTGTCAACAATTTGTCAATTTAGCAACTTACTAATTATAATTCATTAATATTTATTATACAATATAAAATGCTAGCATTAAATCAAACTTTTAATAACTTTAAAATAAATGGCAAAAATAAAATTTTCCTATAAAATTCCTTGTCGAGGATAATTGGTAGATTCCCAGATATGTCAATGCAACATACTAGTGGCGTATCATTAGCAAAAGATAATGCAAGTTGATGTAGAACAACCAGCAAAAATGTGTTGTATTAGATTGAAACATCAAATATAATATTTTTACAAACATTTAAGAGAAAGAGAGAGAAAATGTAAAGCAGAGAAAAGTATAAAATTAACATTTTTGAACATGAGCATCATATACAACAAATAACAACGTCCTCCAGAATAAATATCAAGAGAACATTAAGTTTGCAGCAACACAATTACAACACTCTCAATTTACAACAAGTTATCAAAGTGCTAAATTTTCCCTCCATCATAGTTCATCCTGGGACGAGCAAGAAAGTTTGATCTGCAATTGAAGGAAAGAACAGAACATTCACATGAGACATAAGAAAGGGACACACCATGATCACATACCGTGATAAACAAACTCCCGCCACAATCACCGGCGCACTTGACGAATGATTTTTTCTTTTTTTTTTTAAAATCAGATATTCCCTTGACGCACTAATGGATAAGCACTCTTCTAATTGTATTAGATGTATAGACATTATTTACATAGCAATTTTAGTCACTAAAGAGAAAATCACATCATCTTCTGCAAAACTTGGCCATTTTAGTTCGTTGGGGTTTGAATTTTCGGTTTGAGTTTTGTATAGTAAAAAAAATTGAATTGATATAATTATATATTGTGATATAAATGAGTATTGATACGATATTTTAAAATTTAAAATTAAAATTTTAGTATAATATAAAGAAATAAGTGTTTGATTTAACATTTTATGGAAGAACAAATTTGATAAATAGTATAAGACAACAAAAATATTTCAACCAAACACACAAGTAACTTTATAACAAATTTAGTGATTCAAATGCAAGACCATCTTTCAAGAAAAGAGCTAACCTGTATAGCGCTTGCAGCAATCGTTGGACCTTCTACTCTACCACTGAGTGCTCCCCCTCAGGACAAAGTAACGTGATATTCATCCTACCCTTTTTGCCACTTAGAACCCCATCCTTAAATGGAGCAATTGTACCAACCATTGAAACAAGTTCTAACTGACCCTACAAAAAAAAAATATATAATTATGATTAAAGGAATTAAATAGATGAATAAATAACAAAAAATCTGATAAAAATAAAAGTAAACAAATCTAAGGTTAATTCCAATCAAACAAGAATGAAAAAACAATATAGATGTCAGTAAATTAAGAAACCTCATATGCTGAGTGTTCCCATTCTTGCCCATAATGGCAGATTGTGCCGAGCGACAACATCCCACCGGTTGCATTCACGAAAACAACCCCTGGTTCTATCGTCGCAACTTCCATTACTTTTATGAATATATCCTGAAAAAATATGCCTAGAAGTTTAGTACATTAAAAGAGGAAGGATAGGAGCTCTCATCAAGGTAAAGAAATCATAGTTTAACGGCTACGGAGAGACAAATGTATGATGGAGATTAATCATCGTCAACATAAATAATCAATGTACTTCATGTATGTAACTACATATTTAATTACAAGCATACTGATTAATGATAAGTGCAATGATCTACTCCTTGACGACATGTGGCATACCATTATATGGCACACATATAAATGTTTATGATGCAAGTAAGTCATACAAGACAGATTAACACGGGAGCGGATCCTCAGTCGAACATTTATCCAATCTACTATGTCTAACCTATAAGAATCTAACATAGATTAAATGCTTATTATTATTTTTTTTTCTATTTTTTATTTTAAACCAAAAGCTGCAAATTTTGCAAATCAGTCCTCCCCTATTTCCTTTTCTTCCCCTGTTAACCGACTAACTCTCACACCCAAATTCTCCCCCCCCCCCACTCAAAATCGACCGATCGACCGGGCTGACGCCACCCGACGCAGCCCCCGGTGCAGCCGCCGCAGACCCACCCAAATCCTCCCCCCACCCCCACTCCCACCCCCACCCCTAAATCGACCGACTGCCGCTAACGCCACTGCCGACGCAGCCCCCGCCACAGCCGCTGAAGATCGAAATTCGACCTACCGCCCGGTCCCGCCGCCGAAATTCGTCAAGATCGGGAAATCTTGACTCGAATCTGCAATTGGGGTTGATTAATTTCAACCAACTGAATGATAAAAGATATGATCTTTATATACAAAAAAAGAAAAATTATAGAGCAAGAAAGAAAAATGACGCAGAGACAAACCACTTTTGCGGACTTTGAAATGCTCTGAGAAAACAAACCAGGCCCGTCTTACAGGGAACACCCACTACAAAAAAATAATATATTTGTAACGGAATTCCGTCCCTAATGTCCACGTAGCTAACGTAATTCTATTCCTAATTTCGTCTCTAATGTCATTAGTAATGGAAAAAGTAGATTTAGAGACAAAAAAGTTTTGTTACAAAAATAATTTTTTCTTGTAGTGACCATTTTCCTCAGCCACTCCATAGCCGCCGCCGAGCCAATTCAACGCCATTCTCTCTCTCCTCAAACTCCCTCTTCACCTGTATTTATACACGCATATATATATATATATTATACAGATTTTCCGCCTGATCACAGATTGGAGTCAAGATTTTTCTATGAATTCAAAGAGCTTTTGTTTGTAGACTCACCTGTAAAAATATGGACTTTACGTACTGAATGCAATATTGGGTGAATGTTACATTGTGTTTTATTGTTGGAAGGTTATGTTTGCATGCATGATATAAGATTTTGATTGATTAGTTTGTATTGCTAATACTAATAATAGAATGGTTGATATTGATGATTAGTAGAATGTATAAGCGTCAAGATACATATTTTGTTCCTGGGAATGCATTGGTTTATTTTGTGATTGTCATTGTAATCGACAAAGATCATTTCCGTTTTACTGAAGTTCTATCATATTAATATTAGAAATGGAATACATAAACGTCTTGCTTACTTAAATTAAATTAATGTAATATCACTAGTCTAAAATTCGAGCATTAGCAGAGAACAAGACGAGGGAGATTCCCTATCCAATTTAAATAAATGAAAACAATATTTATTTAATCATAATAATAATTTGATTTAATAACTATAGTAGCCTGTACAGAGCGGTCGGTTGGCGGAGGTAGCGGCTGGGGTGGACGGTCGGTCGAATTTGGGGGAGAGTTTGGAGGAGCTGCGTTGGCAGTCGCATTAGCGGCAGTCGGTCGATTTGGGGGTGGGAGTGGGGGTGGGGGGAGGATTTAGGTGGGTCTGCGGCGGCTGCACCGGGGGCTGCGTCGGGTGGCGTCAGCCCGGTCGATCGGTCGATTTTGGGTGGGGGGGGAGAATTTGGGTGTGAGAGTTAGTCGATTAACAGGGAAAGGAAATAAAATAGGGGATGACTGATTTGCAAAATTTGCAACTTTTGATTTAAAATAAAACAGGAAAAAAAAATAATAATAAGCATTTAACATCTGTCAGATTCTTATAGGTTAGACAGAGTAGATTGGATAAATGTTCGACTGAGGATCCGTTCCCGATTAACACAATTGTCAAGATTTTGCATAAGAGAAATTATTAGTATGTTGAAATATTTACCTTCCCTTTGTTGACCGTAAGGATATGCTTTTCGATAGATCCTGCTAGCAAAATTTGTGAAGAGTGTTTAAGGTTAGATCAAATTCATATACTTAGATAACAATTTTAAAAACGCAAAGCCATAATGAAAATCTCTGGAAGATTAGATCTTAAGCTTTACATTCAATAGTCTAACTTGAGGGTGTGGGCCTGTGGTTCGTGGCTGGCGCCATAGTCCTCTCTATGTGAGTTATCTTTGTGCGCACCATCGTTCAACAAGAAAATTAAACCTTCTACTTCGAAACTAATCTGTGTAAAATAAAAATAAAAAAAAAAAATTGCTACAACCATCTTGCAGGTGTTTGATTGAGTATTTGGAGCTCTTTCCTGTGTTTGAGAGAATGTCTAAGACAAGTACAGTGGGTATTGAAAAAAAAAAAATAGATAAAAGAAGCTTTTTAAAAGCAGGGACAATGAGGCAGAAGAAAAAACTGCTGTAGAAATACAAAATCTGCTTCAACTAGTGGGAGTGAACATTATAGAACTAAATGTTGGTTAGAGGTAATGCTTGTTTTTCTCATCTTTTTTTGGATGTATGATATCATGAGATATCAAATTTTATTGATGGAGAATGTTTGTGTTATTATATATATAGGCACACACTCTCACATTTGATAAGAGAACGATTAAAATTTGTAGAGAGAGTAGAATATATACACGCACTCTAACATTTTCAATAAATGATTGGTGTAGATTTGTATAGAGACAAAATAGAATTGTGA